GAACAAATATTAAATGGGCTATTTGATTAATTAAAAATAAATATATATGCAGGTATACAAATTATTTTTTTACTTTCCGTATGTTTTGTTTTGGCGTTTGTATTATCAGTTATTTTTAAAATTAAATATGAAAATATAATTCACATTAAACATGTAGACATGTAGTCGGTATGCAAATGACTTGAAGAAATCATTGGAAGTTTTTCAGCACACTTGTATCAATGCTCCTTCATATAACACATATTTTCATGCTAAACCTCGTCCATTTAATATGGGAGTGTTAATAAAACCAGCATTTGTAAAAATTGAAAACATTGCGTATGTGTTAAATAAACAACCAGCTGCTATGCAAAACTTCGAAATGACAATAAAAAAACCCAATTAGAATTTGATAATATAATTGTGTTGTGTAAAAATGTTAACCTCCGTAAAGGAGTAGAAGCACACACAAGAGCTCAACCTTCGTTAGACGTTTATTTGTAGAAAGTTGGAGATGCTGTATTAATCAGATTAATAATTTTGCACGGTGTATACACGTTTACAGTAACATCTAACACTGCTATGAACGAGCTTGGGGTAGATTCTAATATAACTGACGTCGGTAAGATGTAATGACGAGCAACAATTACCTCATACTCCAGTCATTCTATTCACTGTATATTAAGCATTAACACGGTTGTCTTTGGTACTGACACTAATTTGGTTTTTATTAAATAAAAAAATAACTACATATACATATTGCATACAGTTATGAACATTATGGTCCAACATCCGGTTGATACTTATATTTTTTTGCATTACACAAGGTCATGCTTTTCTCGAACTGTTTATGACTCATTAAACTAAATCCGTTGGATGTTTACCAATTGATATTTTAGTCTTGGAAAACTTTGTAAGTTTCATAAGTTGAAATTTGCTTTGAACTATTTTTCAGTAACTGCGAGTACTCTAAGATCGATAAATGTGTTTTGATGGAATATTTAGGTTCAGTTGTTTTATGACGCTATTACGCCACTCACCCAGATTAGAGAAAGGCTGAACACTCACAAACATGTTTTCCCAGTCACATGTTTGTGTGTGTGTCTGTCCAAACTCGGGAGCTTGTAATCCAGTAGTTGCCGTTGGTTCCTGCGTGCCATATTTGTTTTTGTTTGTTTGTTGTTTTAGCATAAATCAGGCCGTTGTGTTTCTCGTTTTTGAATTTTTTCACTTTTTTTTCGTGACGGGGCCGTTATAGCTTACTATACATATGGGTTTTGCCCACTGTTGAAGGTCGTATGGTGATCAATCATAACGGTTGCTACATTGGCAATAGAAGAACAGTCCATTTATCAGTAGAGTATGAAAAATTCAAAAAATAAATATTTCTTCAAATGCTCTTTCTTCCCATTTTCTTTAAATTCCACGAGTGGTTGACAAAGTTCTGTATTGGTATCTAAAATACTTTAACCCCAGATCCAGACTGTATCTCTGTTAACTTCTGAATATTGTATATGCGTAACAACTATGTAGAATTATTCACAATCATTTTTATGTGAATAATACCTGCTACAATTAAATTGCATTTATTCTATTCCTTAACAGATACCCGGTGTATACTTTATGAATAAAAGAAGGCGAACTGTATACGAGGACCTACGAGCAGTAACCGAACAACAAAAAATTCAAAACAAAAAGGCAACTAGTAGTCAATATTCCCTTTTAACAATAGAGGAATTTTTCTTTTAAGAATTGTTAGAAAAGTTCACAACAGGTATGATCACATAAACGGAATGTTATGCTTAATGAAATTCTGCTGTAATATTTACAATTAATGGAAGTACCTGTAAATCAATCTAGTGTCATACTAAACAGTCAATAACGTACAGTAATGTAGTAAATTTTGCCATCCGTCATTACATTCAATCGACAACGTTTACTTTCGAATCTACTCCGAACTGTCCAAACCCACCAGTGATTAAGCAAGATTGCAAGTACGCCTTTCGATAGGCCTGATTGATGATGCAAATTTACCAGCCAACAAAAAATCTGGATTTGAATTACAATAGCCTTCGAATATGTATTACATGAATGTAATTTAAAAAAAAGTCGGCATAATGAGACTTTGGCGATCAAATGTAACGATAACAGCACTTCAAGTTAACAGGAAACCAGAAAATCAATATCGCACCGTAACGTACCAGTTCTATTTCACAAACTGCAAAATTAATTTACTGCTCCTCTGAACACCAATAAAACCTAAATATGACTTAATACATGCACATTTTTTTCCCTTTGCGGCTACCTCGATTGAATGGATTTTATTCGGAATTAAATATTAAAATATGGACTGAATATTATTTAAAATAATCTTTCTGCATCTTTATTTCACGACAAACAGATGTTGCTTGTATCATATAGAGAATAGCAATTAGTGCACAAAATTAATAACTAACATTTAATGAAATAATAATATAAAATAAATTAAAAAAAACGATTGTTTTGGTCAAATACGAGAAACAACTGCCACCGCAACATGCAAGGAAAGCCGCAAATTGTGGTTACCGTCACCAATGCAGGACCACTCGATTACATAATTAGATGAGAATATTATATAACTATAGCGGTTTTATGATTCCCGCATGATTACTTGAATCTGATAAAGCATTCATTTAAATGTTCAACTGCAGTTGAAAAACTAAAGGATGAAATGAAGCAAGAAAATGGAAAGTAGACACTATGTTTGGCAAACAGATAGTTAAAGTATATCCTAATGAAGTTTGGCCTCTCGTGAACACATTATTAGCTAATGTTTGCCTACCTTGCCAATATTTATAAGTTTGTCTACCGTTGCTTTACAAAGTGTCATTAAAAATTAATCATTTATGTAAAAACAGATATTTGATTAAGTGAATGTTTTGACAATTAACTGTCACAGTAGAGTGGTATCTGACAAGGCTCAAATTCAAAGAATAAAACGAATGGTTTTCTATTCGTTGAAGGACTTGTCAATTAAAATATGATATAAAAATACCAGGTTCATGGATACTCGAAATCGAAGAATAAAATAAAGCATTCTGAATTATCTTTATCTAAGTTTTACAATGAATGGACATTTCACTGTAAATAGTCTTCTCTGACCATGAAACTCTTTTCTGTTAATTTCTTTGTAATGTGAGGTATTAAGATTCACAATTATCGTCGAAAAAATGGTAACCGGGTTGTACTTTCTAGTAAAATCACAAGAACAATACTACAACCTAATATAATTATCTGTCAGATAGAAGTACCCTCGGGTTCTGTAAACTCGACTAGGAAGCTTTAAAATTACTGTTTTCCGATGCTTTTGTCAGAACCTTGCACAAACACTTCAGGCAGAAATTCTCAAGTATAGCAAATTATTTCTTTTTCTTTTAATCGCTCTGATTATGTTAACAGAGAAGAAGGAGTAATGGGGTAAATTAAACAAATCGTTCCAGACAAAGGCCATAGTTACATCAAAAACTCTCCTAGAAATATATATTTCACGCGAGAAGAAATGTGAATTACAAATTTCCTACAACGAAATTGGAGTTCGGTATTTTTGTTGATACTTTTTTCCTAAATTCTAAAAAAGTGTTTACCGTTCCAAGTTGATCGATTGCAATGACATAAATTTGATACTGCTGGAGCTGGGAAGTCATTAAAATATTACTATAATTTTTCGTATGACATTCTAATAATAGATTTCTGTGCCGATAAGGCTCTTATTTCGATTACAGATAAAATCAAATTATAATGTCGACATTTAAGATTTCACGTACGGCGATTAAAACCGCACGTACGACCTACTGTTACCATATGGTGCAAAATGCAGTTAACTGTTGATGGTCGACCAGCATTGACTTCCTTAAACGAGAGACATATAAAATATTGTATTATATGTCTCTGCGTAATCCAACTTTATCTAGAAGTCTGAGCACTAAATGTGAATAAAAACTTGCCGATCTTCGCCTGGCTAAATTTTTCGAATAGTGAAATGTAATACAATATGACCTGAAATGTTTGTCTGAAAGACGGGTCTTGTTTCCGTCGCTTTATGGGTGATTTAGTATTAATAGCACCATCCGAATCACTGGTCTTGACATGCTTAAAACCAGAGACATATAATACAATATAATGTATTTCTCTGTTAAAACCGAGTTTGCAAATCATTAACAAAGCAGTAGAATTAGCTCATACCGCAAATTATCAAACAAACGCGAGGACAAAATAAATTTAGCAACTCTGTATTATATGTCTCTGGTAGCGGTTGACCCCGTGAAAAGAAATATAGTGTCTTCATGTGCTTTAAACATTGCTTTTTTATATTTATCTGCTAACTCAGACCTCCTTGCTCAGACTTAAATAAAACATATTGTGATCGAATTATTATGCAGAGAGGAAAACTCTGCAAAGATAAAAAAAAATTCTTTTATAATATATTTATTTTGGAATGGTCTGTTTACAGTGGCGCATCCAGAAATTTTCATAAGGAGGGGGGGGGGGGGGGGGGGGGGGGGCACTGACTGCCTTAGAGAGGGCCTGCTCCAGTCATGCTTTAGTGATTCCCTATATAATCAACCGAATTTTTCCCACAAAAGGGGGGGCGGGCACTATGTAAAGATATGGTGGTAGACCTATTGGAAACACTGTGTAAAGATATGGTGTAGATTTAATGGAAACACTACATAAAGATATGGTATAGACTTATTGGAAACACTGTGTATAAAGATATGGTGTAGACTTATTGGAAACACTATATCAAGATATGGTTTTTAGCATGTTATTTGCACAAAACATTCCAACCAAATACATACTTTTTGTTACATAAGTGATCAAGGTTTAGGTGAACTTGCATTTAATTTTACATCTTTAGCTGATACATTTTACTATATCAAACATTTGTAGATTTATTATCTTACATTGTAGTTTTTACAAATATGATGTTTAATTTCTTCATTTAGCTGTCTGTGAAACATGCAAAAGTTAAGACACAAAACTTCATTAGAGCACTTTAATTAATATCACTGCATACATCATTTTTTGGCACAGAATTAGTATATTGTTACCATGGTATATCCTTAAATTTCATGCTGTTTACATGTATTTCTTTGAAAACATATCTTAGATGACACAGCATCAAATCTGCTTATAGCAAGTTCAAAAACAATTTTTCACAATTTTATAAAAAAAAAAACCAAAAACCCCAAACATAATAAGAAACCATAAAATTTGACTTTTGCATTTTTTGAAAATCTAATTGTCACAATAAAAAAAATTGTTAAAAAAATATGTAAGTTTCATTTATTGTATTTTATTACCATGATTACCAGACAAAACAATCTGTAATATTAAGATGATATTTTTTTTTCCAATGCCCTAGCACATAGCAATTAAATTCATTACAGTATAATATGGCAGCCCTGAGAATTTCAGGATTAACAGGCAATTTTCTTAAGATCGGTCTATTTCATTTGATGTTTATCAAATGATGATTATGAAAGTGACTGCTGTAATGAATCTATCCAAATTAAGCCATAACATTTTACTGAGATGTGATTTTTTAAAAACAAACATTCTTTAATGTATGTAGCTTATACAGGTTAATTTGACCTATAACAAGTAATTTGGTTAAAACTTTTTAATTTGATACAGGGGCAGGTACCCCATATAGTACACATTAAGCAAAAATACATGAAACATGTCACTTACAAAGGTAATAAAATCTATGGGATGCCATCTAAGTATCACAAAGCATTAATATATAGCAATATGTTAAGATTTTTGTTAGAAATGACCCAGTAGTTTTAGACTAGAAAGCTCAGTCAGTTTTCTTAACTGTAAATTTATGTTACGTGAAGGCGCTGAATGTGTACGAGTACTTCCTGAGTGAGACTTTGGTCTCAGATCTGATCTCTAAATCATTTGTGATACCGATGTTAAAGCTTGTCCATTTTGTTCTGATGTTTCAACTTGAGAATCAATTTTCAAATCACTATCAAAATCCATTGCTGTGTGAAAATGTTCCATATTAAATGCCGTGCCTATTGTTGTTTTAGATCTCCTTTTCATAGGTGAGACACCTTTGGAATAAACACTAGGACTTTTCACATGTCCATTGAACAGTTTTTTGGTGTTTTCTCTATGAATTTGACCATTTATTTCACCACCTTTTTGTTTGTTCTGTAAATCTATAGATAATGGCGAGCCTGACTGGCAAGAGTTTGACATATCAAGCATACCATTCTGTTCCCGACTTCTCCAGGACGAAGCACTTGAATACATTATTTTTTTTCTTGTAACTCCCTCCACACGTAAATTATTTGTTTTTTGTTGTTGTTCCCTTCCAACTGGAATGCTTACTTGTCTAGGAACTGGAATTCTTATTTTTGACTTATATTCCGATGTTTTTTGAGAGTTTATTGGATTATGCACATTTGAATATCTCTGTATATGATTAGTTGTTGGCATCTTACTTGGTGATTTGATTGGTCCAATTACTGTGTCGGACCGGGATATTTTCAGCTGAAAAAAAAAACCACAGGAGAAATAATTAGACAAAGAAACATCAATATACATGTATTATTCCAATAAAGATCCTTTGTTTTATAGCTATAAATAATGTAGTGAAGTACATTGTATCAAGGTATGATTGGATCATGAAATGAAAAGGTGTAAAAATGTGACTTTTAACTTTGACATACAATGTTTACAAAGAAATTACATATTCTAATATGAAGCTCTTCGTTTACTTTCTATTTTACAGCATTTATTCCTCGTTTTGGGTGATTTTTAATACCCTTGGTAATCTGGATGTACTTAAGTATTCTATGATTTTTTTTTATCTTGAAATTGCATAAGGTAAAAGATGCCTAATTGCTAAATCTCTCAGATTTTGAAAAGGTAGCATCAATACAAAACGTAAAAATAATAGAAGACATAAGCCTTATTTTGCTTGGCCTATACAACATTTTCTGTTTAGAATTAGGTAGAAATTAGAAATAAATGAAGTTAGTTAGAACATGTGGCAGCTATAATTTGAGTGCTGGAGAAAAGGATAGAGAGAATAACAGGCAGAAAATAATATTCTTTCTCTACTGTTAAATCAAAGCTGCAAAGGAAAAAAACAAGTAAATCCTACAAAAAATTCAGTCCTCACTTAAATATGAACTTAAAATTTGAGCTTAAATTTTCTTCCATGACACAACATATTACTTTCAATTGGAATTACGTTCTCAGTTATTTTCTATTATATTTGATTAAAATAGATAAATACTTGGTGAGTTTAAGATGTGAGAGTTAAGGTGCAATGTTTGAGAAGAAGTTCCATACAAACCTTCTGTCTCCTTACAAAGCTGGGCATACGTTTCTGTATAATCAGAATAAATAATATATATACTAGCATGCATACCTTTAGAAAACTATTTCAACATGGGCCATTATGTCTAAATGATTTAAAAACAAGTTGCTTTCTTTCAAAAAAGAAAAGCAATACGTGAACCCCAGACCTCTGACTGGTCACCAAATAATTATTGCTGAATTTTTTTGCTTTTGATTTGAAATAATTGACTGTGAATAGAATAAGGTAATGGTGATGTTAAAACATATTTTGAAAATGTGTAACTGTGTTTAGATTCTTGCATAAGTCAATAAAAAGCACTGTTTGATTTTAGTTGTAAATAGTAAAGCACGAAGTTGAAGAGCATTGAGGACCCAAAATTCCGAATGGTTTTTGCCATATGCAGCTAAAGTAATCTATTCCTTGGGTAGAAAATCCTTAGTTTTTTGAAAATTTAAAAGTTTATGATAGGACAGTCACTCAAAAAAAGAAAAAGAAGAGAAACAACTAGAGGTCAGAATACTAGAGTCTTCAAAGTCACATGTCAAGCTCTAACTGTCGTGTCCTGAATTAAAATTAGAAATGGGAAAATTCACATTTCGCGAGTGAAATGAGTATCTATGCATGCATGTGGTTTTCTTGTACAAGAAATAGTAAATGGAAAGCATATGCACTGATATTCTAGATTAGAATATGTTTTCAGTCTTTATCATACGAATATCTATTCTAGGCTCAAATCTAATGTTAATTGAATTCGGCTGTCAAACTACCTATCTCAAGTGGTTTAACTCCGTACTATTCATTGCCCTTTAGTGGCTTCGGTGGCCGAGTGGTCTAAGTAGTCGAAACTACTGTATCACTAGATTGTCAACACAGAGTTTGTGAGTTCGAATCCTGTACATGGCAGGTGTGCTTGACCCCAATCTTAATTGACTAGGATTGTCAGTTTTCCTATAGAAGATCGCTGGTTCTCTTTTGGGACTCCGGCTTCCTCCACCAACAAAAACTAAATGCCACGAAATAGTAAAATAGAGCTAAAAGTTGTATTAAACACCAATAAATCAATCAACCAATCATTGCCCATTTAATCCAGAAAATGTATGAACGCAAACCAATATTGTTGTCAATTCAGATTTTAAATGTGATGTTGTTGTGTCTAGTAAACGGAGTGTAATATAATGTAAATGATGTGACCAAGACTTGTTTAGGAGAGCTGGTAAACACTATGCATATAGAGTTTTCAGAATTGCACCATATTGCAAAGATTCAAATGCTATAAGGTTGAACAATTTAAAACAAAAAGAATTAACATACATTCCTGTTAATAAATCTTATTCCGAAAATTTAAAATATGCTATCAATAAACACAAACGTCAAGTCTTACTGATGGACATTTTTTTTCTTATCAATCTCTTTTACTTTCAGATCTACAAATGAACCTTGATAGTTGAACTATACAATTTCACGTGATAGCCTTTCCATAGAGGGACCATATTAAAGACATAAATAACTACCTGTATTAATGAATTGATCAAACATTTTCGAGAAGTTCCGAGAATCTTGTTTTCCGAGCATATCTGAATGGCCCATAGAAGCTACCAAAACTCACTAATTTATATATATGGGGTTCACGCAAAAAAATAAAGCAGGATTCTACATGTAATGTTCACATATCTTGCAAAAATGGTTGAAACTATAAAAAAATCCTAAGATTTACAACACTATGCCACAGAGAGTTAACCTGCTATACATATGTTGATGATTATATTTACTATGTCATAGAGAGTTAACCTGCTATACATATGTTGATGACTATATTTACTATGCCATAGAGAGTTAACCTGCTATACATATGTTGATGATTATATTTACTATGCCATAGAGAGTTAACCTGCTATACATATGTTGATGACTATATTTACTATGCCATAGAGAGTTAACATGCTATACATATGTTGATGACTATGCCATAGAGAGTTAACCTGCTGTACATATGTTGATGACTATATTTACTATGCCATAGAGAGTTAACCTGCCATACATATGTTGATGACTATATTTACTATGCCATAGAGAGTTAACCTGCAATACATATGTTGATGACTATATTTACTATGCCATAGAGAGTTAACCTGCTATACATATGTTGATGATTATATTTACTATGCCATAGAGAGTTAACCTGCTATACATATGTTGATGATTATATTTACTATGCCATAGAGAGTTAACCTGCTATACATATGTTGATGACTATATTTACTATGCCATAGAGAGTAAACCTGCTATACATATGTTGATGACTATGCCATAGAGAGTTAACCTGCTATACATATGTTGATGACTATATTTACTATGCCATAGAGAGTTAACCTGCTATACATATGTTGATGACTATACTTACTATGCCATAGAGAGTTAACCTGCTATACATATGTTGATGATTATATTTACTATGCCATAAAGAGTTAACATGCTATACATATGTTAATGACTATATTTACTATGCCATAGAGAGTTAACCTGCAATACATATGTTGATGACTATATTTACTATGCCATAGAGAGTTAACCTGCTATACATATGTTGATGATTATATTTACTATGCCATAGAGAGTTAACCTGCTATACATATGTTGATGACTATATTTACTATGCCATAGAGAGTTAACCTGCTATACATATGTTGATGATTATATTTACTATGCCATAGAGAGTTAACCTGCTATACATATGTTGATGACTATATTTACTATGCCATAGAGAGTTAACCTGCTATACATATGTTGATGACTATATTTACTATGCCATAGAGAGTTAACCTGCTATACATATGTTGATGATTATATTTACTATGCCATAGAGAGTTAACGTGCTATACATATGTTGATGACTATGCCATAGAGAGTTAACCTGCTATACATATGTTGATGATTATATTTACTATGCCATAGAGAGTTAACCTGCTATACATATGTTGATGACTATATTTACTATGCCATAGAGAGTTAACCTGCTATACATATGTTGATGACTATATTTACTATGCCATAGAGAGTTAACCTGCTATACATATGTTGATGATTATATTTACTATGCCATAAAGAGTTAACGTGCTATACATATGTTGATGACTATATTTACACTGATTATCTAATTTACATCATTTTCAGTATAAATATTGTAATCTTAATTCAGTTGTGTCTGATGCAGTGAATAAAATGTATAAAAAAACATTGATCCATGAATCATACAGCTCTAATATCCAAATGTATTTAAACAAAGGCATATCATTAAAATTCAAACTGTAATCAAATTTGAGACTTGTAAATATTGAAGATTGGGTATAAATTGCATCAAATTTCCATTTTATCCATAATTATCAAGCATTCATGGATCATTCAAAACTGATAAGCTGATTAAAAATTCTAGGTTCCATTATATTTATGTGCAGGTATCAATGCCCTTTTTGGTTTCAATATATAAACTACCATTAAGTCCATTTAAGTAGTTGGGTGTCAATTTGAATATTCCAACTTGTCATGGAGATACAATGTAACAATTAAATAAATTTAGTCATGTACACTTTTGTAGAGCTCAAATTTCTATAAGCATAAAAAATTCATTACAATGCCTAATCTTTAACTGCCCTGGTGCTTAAAATTATGTAATAAGTTAAATCAGTCGCAGACACACAGATAACTGTATATTGGATTGCATGGCCGTGTCAAGTTCTGCCATTGGTTAAGTTCTACAGTCAGTCAGTGTGGTCATATTTTCTGCAACACACTGATTAACCCAGGTAAGACTGTCTCATCTGACAACGTTACCTAAACTGATATCACAACTTTACAGAAACGGAAATTAGAAAATTTGCGGTAATTTCCTATCGGCTAATCTAGTATATCATACAAAACAAATGAGTAGGAATTGAATAGGAAGCCATTATCAACTGATTTCCAAACAGTAAAAAACAGATCACACCTTTAAAAGATCAATGGAGTAAAAAAACGTAATTGTCAAGGTATCGGTGGGGAATCGAAAACATGCTTAAATGACGTTAAATCTTTATAATTAGAGGCAAGTCAACTGTTAATGTTTACACATCTTGCATCAATTATTCAATATAATTTTTTACAACTGAAAAAATGTTTTGAATGTTATCCGAAACAGAAATCAGTTTTAGACAGCATATTATAGTTCAGTTACTATAACGATTGAATGTGACACAGTAAAATCACAATATTATATCACTAATCTTAATAAGGATAAAACTTTATAAATTATTTAATATTCATGTATCTCAAAATCCAGCTTGTATTCACTGATCTGAGAAAGGTATTGTCCATGTTTGATAACTATCAGCCAATATACAGGGAAGGCATGTAATATTCATTTTTCAATTTTATGGGGGTTTTATTATCATAAAAGATCTTCAATTGTTATGAATTTATTAATCAAAGATCGACATTATGCTAAATAAATTAAATTGTTTCAAGCAGTTAACGAATTTCATTAACCAAGTTGAATATAATTTCTATTGTCAATTAAAAAAAAATATGCCCAAGAGGCCATAAATAGGTCAGAACTCCCAAGAGGCCAACATTGGTCAAAACTAAAGCTGGTATGAGTTCTGAATCATGTTTAATGAAAAACACCAAAGTTTAAGAGCTAAACCGCTAAAACAATTTAAAAAAAAAAACTTAGATTAGATTATACTGGTCTTTATCTATATCTTTACAGCAGGTTTTTACCAGAGTTTGTGGGAAAGTACCGATTCTATGAACTGACTTATATACAAAGCATCCTGCTATTGGAACCATTTGTTGAAAAAAATTCCACAGCTTTACGACACTTCGTATTTTCTTCAAATATTTATACTTAAATATACATTTTTATCAGTCTATCAAAGTATTTTAGTAAAAATTTCATAGGAGACTTAAATCTAAAAGTTACTTTTTTCTTGGCAATTTGCCTTGTAAAACAATATGCTTTCATAAAAAAAATTACTAAAAATACAATGTGTGATGCAAGTGACAAAGTTTTAACATTGATGTCAACTCAATGACACAAGGGTTTTACCAGGGCTTGGAAAATCAATTTTCTACCAAAAACTTCAATTTAAGTGTAGAATTGCTGATATAATTGTGTAGGACGAGTTAATTAACAGATTGGTGATACATGTGATTAAGTTTCAATGACCAATAATTGAATCCAATTGTCAAGAGAAAATTGGAATTAAATTAACAAGTCAATATAACTCGGTCTTGTATTTCAACACTTCTTTTCAAATTTTAATCACTAAATGGCTAAACACATCAAATCATGTTTACAGTACAAAGCATTTAAAATCATTATCCCCGACTCTAATTACTGGACAAAGTTATAAAGGATTTCAAATCAAGTCAATATTTATAATTCTAGGTTATTTTGACTTTAAAAGGTTAAATTTACAATAAAATCAGTGAATTCAACATCACATATTTTCAAATAAACTGTTTATTTTTTTTATTAAGTCTCAATCAAAGTAGCAGTTATAATACTAGCAAATATTACAAACAAAATTTCAAAAATAAATGTCAAAATTAAAATGGATTAATTTTTACCATACAATTAGTAAAAATAATTGTGACTTATTGTGAATTGTATATTAAAACAAATTATGTGTCAATTGAAGTTACTTAACTACTTTCCTGGCATTATCTATGAATCCCATAACCATACATGCATAAAAAATATAAAAAAATCCAGGTAACTTGACTGTGCAGTGAAAAGTTTTTCTTTTAAATAAATGTTAAACCACAACTTACTCCAAAATCAGCATCCCCTTTCTTAGGAATACTGTTTGACTGCTTAAGTGGCCACCTTCCATCATCTAATGAGTAATATTCAGCTAAGGCACTTTCTACACTCCGATGAGATTTCGTAACAGACAATCTGTCCCTCATTGCCAAATTCAAAATGGCTGTATCACTGTGGCGACCAGTTTTCTGAATTGGACTATCAATAATTCTACCATTGTCCAAAGTAGGTGAAGACTTTTCTGAAGATCTGGTAAAAAGTTTGTCTCTCATTTTATTGTCGGAACATAATTTGCTGACAGGCGACTCAATAAATGTCTGGCCAGTTTCATTTATCAAATTTGCCCGAACAATTTTCTCTTGTGATTTTAAGTCATGTATTGTCTTAATAACTTCTAATTCTGTCAAATCAATTTGTTTACAACTAAAGTTTGTATTTTCTCTTGGCAGCGTGTAATTTTCAGCGTTTGTTTTACTGAACTGCACGACTGATGATGGTTGTTCTTTGAGTGCATTTGTTTTCTGTCTGTCAAAGAATAACGGATAACGTGACACAGATTTTTGTGACGGAGTATTAGCGAGCTTATCTACACGATCATCGTCTATATTGTCTAATTTAGCAAGAATACGACTAGAATGTAACGCTCCATCACTTTCTGATTCTGAACTACTAAATGGTATAGGAGAAGTCGAAGCATCTATAAAATGAGGTTTTGCCTCTGACGGCATCTGTATAACAAGTCTTGATCTGTCTGTTTCTTGTTTCTCCTGAACATTTTGTTGCCATTTCTGTTCACTAGATAGGGAAGGACTGTTTACTAAACCTGCAGTCAATAAAAAATTATAATTTAATGAAGTCTCCACTATATATATATATATTTACTACACCAGTAGCCAATACAAAAATATCAACTATGTCTTCCTTTACTACTACACTTGTCAAAATATTATAAAGTTTCAACAATAATACCACATCTCATTACATCTGTAGTAAAAAAAATTTTATCTGGGACTAATACCTGAATCATATATTGGTCCAAGAAAATATCAAAATATTATGTAGTATCAACTATGTCTCCATTTATTACACCTGTTGTCCTTCAGACAACAAATACATGGTATAAAACTGAACATGAGATATAAATTTGAATAACATCATTTAGCAGTCTAAAAGGAGTTGAAGATAACAGATGGTTACAAGAATGCATGCATTGCTGTGTTTAGCATTCCCTCACACATAACTCAAAGTATCAAAAACAGGAAGTAGGTGTCCAACAGATCCAAAAAGTGCCTTACACATTACATCATTTGCAACATGTGGAGCAGGATCTACTTACCCTTCTGGAGCACCTGAGATCACCCCCAGTTTTTGTTGGGATTCGTGTTGCTCAGTCTTTAGTTTTCTATGTTGTGTTTTGTGTACTATTGTTTGTCTGTTGGTCTTTTTCTTTTATAGCCATTGCGTTGTCAGTTTATTTTCGACTTATGAGTTTGAATGTCCCTTTGGTATCTTTCACTCTCCTTTGCAAGCTGATGACTAAATATGAAGTCATTCTGTTCATTAATAATGTAGAAATGTGTGACGAAACATTTGATATTCATTCAACATTTTGAAGTATTCAAAGTCTCGGCAAATGGGAAGTAGGTGGTTGAAAGATCTGGTTACATGTTACAATGTATATCTATCTAGCTACTAACCAAATATCAAGTCATTATGTTAAGTATTTCCTGAGAAAAATGCGGCAAAAATATTTGTTGGATGAATAGATGGACGAAATAATAAGAAATCATCCAAAAAAAGATATATAATTCACAATCAAGACTTTGACAAATTAATGTTGACTACATACGTTTGTGTAATAATTCTTCAGGATATTCGACTGTTACAGATAAAATGACTTCTCCATCTAATGCTGTTTCCCGTGGGGCAATATTTGGTAACTTTTCTTTAAAATCATCTTCACTTTCTTCTGAAGTATCATCACTATCCTATAACAGTAAGATTTTAAGTTTGAGAGTTCTGAAGTACAATGTTTACAAGACCTATCTAAACTTCTGCTTCGTCTTAACTTTCTGTTCTGTATCATTGGACCTTATCCTAATGATACACATCTTGAAAAATTATGAGACAGAATTTTCATTGGTTAACGTTATAAAAAACAAAACATAAAATAAAACAGAAAGCTGTTAGATCCTGGTAGTAGATATCTGCATTTTAATTTGGTTGTAGTAATTCCTATATATTTCAGTTGATAAAATATTCAAGGGCCCCCATCTTGAATTCCTTTTTAGAGGTCGTACTATTAATAAAGCTAGTGAACTAAAATGGCGATTCAACAATTAAAGTTTTCATTGCTATCATGACTTGAATTAAATATGTCTTAAATGATCATGATTCCTTTCTTCATGTAGTTGTCTGCCCCTAACTGCCATGATATCTTCAAAACTTTTGTATACATCGTGCATTTTCATCATATTTTACCCTCTAATTTTAAACTGGTTGCCTTGCATTATATGAATACTGATGGCCAACAAATACAATTGTTTATGCAATAACTTTATCTGTTAATGTATTCCTACATATGTTAAAACAAGAGTGCACAAGCTGAAATGTCTCGCCTACTATACTGACCATTGATTTTATGTTGATAGTCCTACATATAAAGTTTTACTACAAGTATCACATTAATATATATGATCCAAGAAAATGAGGTCAAGGTCAGTTAAACCAAGATGGAAATACATGAACACCTTTAATACAATCATTCCATACACAGAATATAGATAACCTATTGCTTATAGTATAAAAGAAACAGACCAAACCATGGAAATTCTATATTGACCAATGAACCATGAAAATGATGTCAAGGTCAGATGTCACCTGCCAGACAGACATGTACACCTTAAAATCATTCCATGCATCAAAGATAGTTGACCTATTGCTTATAGTATCTAAGAAACAAAGTTAACCAGGAAAACTGAACATTGACCAATGAACCATGAAAATGAGGTAACAGTCAGATGATACCTGCCAGACAGACATATACACCTTACAATCATTCCATACACCAAATATAGTTGACCTATTGCTTAGAGTTTAAGAAAAACAGACTAAAACACAAAAACTTAACATAAGCAATGAACTATAAAAATGAGGTCAAGGTCAAATAAAACCTGCCAGACTGACATGTTCATCGTAAAATATTTCCATACACCAAATATAGTTGACCTATTGCATACAGTATTAGAAAAACTGACCAAAACACAAAAACTTAACTATTACCACTGAACCATGAAAATGAGGTCAAGGTCAGATGACACCTGCCAGTTGGACATGTACACCTTACAATCATTACATACACCAAATAGTGTAGACCTATTGTTTGTAGTATCTGAGATACTTGACCAGGAAAACTTAACCTTGTTCACTGATCCATGAAATGAGGTTGCGGTCAAGTGAAAACTTTCTGACAGGCATGAGGACCGTGCGAGGTACGCACATACCAAATATAGTTATCCTATTACTCATAATAAGAGAGAAATTAACATTTCAAAAAATCTTAACTTTTTTATCAACCATGAAAATGAGGTCAAGGACAATGGACCTATGACAGACGGAAATTTCATATAATAAGGCATCTATATACAAAGTATGAAGCATCCAGGTCTTCTACCTTCTGAAATATTAAGCTCTTAATAAGTTAGTTAACGCTGCCGCTGCCAACACCTCCACTGCCAGATCACTATCCCTATGTCATGCTTTTTGCAACAAAAGTCGCAGGCTCGACAAAAACAGAATCAGGCATAGCAACTTGACATCATTGAGATGGGAGCCATCTCTGTGGGCCCCACTGTAAATAATGTGTGGTAAAAAAATTGTATCTTTACCATAGGACATTGTGTTATCAACTGAAACCAAATTTTTTGACCTTGACCTTTGACCTAGGAAGTTGTACATACATTTAGACACACCCTCTGGTGTTGGTTAATATACATGTCAAGTATAAACTTTGAAATCACAACGGTTCTCAAGATATAAGAGTGGACACAATCTTTACCATAGGACATGGGGTTGTCAACTGAAACCAAAGTTTTTGACCTTGAAATTTGACCTAGGAAGTTGTACAAACATTATGACACACCCTCTGGTGTTGGTTAATATACATGTCAAGTATAAAGTATGAAATCATAACGGTTCTCAAGATAGAGCTGATACAATAAGTTATGGACGGACGGACAGACTGATCACTATAGGGTGACCCACCACTAGGCAGTGCCCTAATTATCAACAAATAGCAAACAATACTATAAATTAATGGATTTCAGTTACCAACTTTAATACAACTGAAACCATACAAGTGTTCACAAAGTTCTCGGATTTGTTCAGTTCTCTTTTAGTTTATCTAGATCTAGAGGTGCTTTGATAAAATGCATACAGGAAATGTTGAAAAGATATGCAGTAAAGTGGTTTATTCTCTAGGAGATTAAATTTCGCAATTTAAAAAGCCCAAACCTATTCAGTAGGTTTCATTTCCCACTTTTCTTGTCCCTGATTCTTTACTTCCTTCAGGTGTCAGACCATCAATTCACTCACTCCAATTTAGAATGTATGTAAAAGTAGCTCTTCTCTGACACAAAATAGTGCATTTGATGTCATTGTTTACTTAAACTAACCAACAAATTCACAGAAATGAACTTTTGGTGAAAGAGAAATATATTTAGACCATTTTCAGCAAAAATTTACTTGTCTATGAGTTTGCATTAAAAATTGAGGATTAATGCACTCCATAATATACTTATTTAAGATTTCCAGAAAACCAGGGATTATTTTTAGTAGTACTGGTCTTCCGTTTAGCAGTTCTTTCTTAGAAGTCTTTAAACATGGGTTGAAAATTGGCATGTAGAAAGGTGATACATATACAATTCAGGATATACCTGGTTTCTATGAAGTTAAACTTAAGATAAAATATTAAGACAGCTGTGAAAATTGCAAAATTTGGTTGAATAGATAGGGATTTTGAATTGATGGTCTGACACCTTCAAGATCCAAATTTATGCGAGGATACATTTTCACTATTTTATCTGAATTGCGAAAATAAACCACTCTCTACAGTATTACAACCACTAATTTTTTTTTTAAATAATTGAAATAAACCTTGTGTCTGTTACTCCCATTAACATCCACCATTTTGCCTGGTTGTATTTCCACTTCCGTTATATCTGATTTTCCGTCAGTATAATAGGAAACTGGATCTGTATAAGATAAAATATTTTTCATTTTTTTATAGTTTTAATTTTTTTTTTAGTCTCAGGAGGATTGAAAGCTTGACATATAGACACCTGTCTATTGTTAATGACTGTTTGTTGACTTCTACTAAAATATCTTTAGGTTTTAAGTATTTGTGGGTTACATGACCATATACCCAAAAGCTTCTTTCATGCATACATTTTTTAGGTAAGCCATTCAAAACATACATCGTTGCACAACGATGGCACTCTGAAATCCTGTCAATTGGGGTTGTCTAAACAACAGCAAGGAATGAAAATAAAACTAATACAAACACTATAAATATGAACAAAATGAGGTGAAATTGTCAAAAAGACAGCAACTCCTCAACTCAATTTAAACAAGATAGACATCTAGAGTCATTATACTGTCCTCCGTCTAAAACTAATACCAAACTCTCAAGAACAAATAATGGGAACAAATTCTCAAGAAAAAAATAATGGCCACAATTTCTCAAGGACAAATAATGGGCACAAATTCTCAAAAAAAAAATAATGGCCGCAATTTCTCAAGGACAAATAAGGGGTACAAATTCTCAAGGACAAATAATGGGCAATAATTCTCAAGAACAAATAATGGGCACAAATTCTTACTTTATTCCATCCTTAGTGTATAACAAAATACAATGTTTTGCAATCGGAAAAGCAAAAAAATCTTAGCTACATCAATGGCAGTGTGAATCAGATGTGGATATTCAAAAATGATGAAGATCTGTTAGATTACATACCATCTTTGTCCTCAGCATAAAAACATTTGATATCAACCCTATACAAAAGTATTCCTCATTCTAAACTTAGACAGTTTGCAGGAATTAAGTCCACTTTTTCATAAAAAAGAATGGCTCATGTAGATACAAACATCCTGACATCATCAAGATGCTTGATTTCTTTATTAAAACATTAGTTATGTTTAGTGGACATGTTTTACAGCAGTTGACCAGCATTACTTTTAAACAATTATGCTCTTATTTTCACCAAGATCTTCCTTTTTTGTATGAAATACACCTCATAAAGAGGCTTCACTACAAAAATGAAATGGAGCTTAGTATTGTCCTGTAACTTCACAGTCAACTATAAAGATGATGTCATCTTACAGAAGTTAACTAAGTTGTCTCATTGAACTTGAAATAAAGGATATCACAGATAGTTGGGTCTGCCGCATATCTTGACATTCACTAGAAATTGGCAGTGAGGGACTGTCCTAACTTCAAAGAGATGACTTTAATTTTCTGATTATGAACTTCTCATTCTACTCCAATTTATTTGTAAAGATGTTGTCAACGTATATTTTGAGGGGGAGGGGGGGGGGGGGGGGGGAAATTCCAACGTCTACTGCTCTGTTACTAAGTTAAGCCACCATTTTGAATTCTTAATTTTTTAAATTATGTGATTTCTTAAAATATAAACAAAAACGCTACTTTTCTTTTAACTGAAAACATTTTTTTTGTAAACTTTTTCTTTCATTCTGAAGTGTTTGCAAAGTCTGAAAACGTTAAGTGTTTATGTTTAGAGCCTGGGGTGACCCTATGAAGCCACTCTGTTTAGATGACAAAGACTAGGACAATGATTCACACATTTTTTATTTATGACAATTTCTTAGCCAAAATAATAATTATAGTGGAACTTTGATTGAATAGCATTATAACAGAGATAACCGTATTGTATTTTAATCTTGGACTATATAAAACTTGGTTTGACTGTCACTAATATCCATTTACTTAGCTCTGCTAGACGTTGCTATTTAACCATAATTACGACAGTAAAACGTAAGTTTTATGTAGGCCAAGTTTAAAATACAATACAGTGATCTCCTTATTCTTATGTAGCAACATTCAAGAAGCACCTGTTTATGGATTATATATCTCCAAGTTGATACAATATTAAAAGGCATCAGAATTACCTAGATAGTCTTATTGATACTTACAAGGAAGCTATTGAAAGAAGGATTCTTTATGATTGAAGACATCTCTATGGAAATTTTAGTTGAATACTGAATTGTACTTTTATATTGCAAGTACAATTCAGTATTCAACTAAAACTACTAAAAGTTAATAAAAAGAACACTGAACCATCAACACTAATAGGTATGTCAATACACTGGTTGTCATGACAACAGACTATTTACCTGGTATACCAGTTAATGCTACAGAATGCCAGGACCCACAGCTGATAGTAGTGACAGTCGTTAGTCCAGTATTTACACAGAATGGTGTCCAGATCTTAAAAGACGTTGGTCTGTTAGGTAATATACAATGGCTATTTTTACCCCACATGTACAACTTGCCATTTTCTGTGGAAAGAAAGAATTGTTTTTATCAATAGTTACTGACATATGGGACATTTAATAGTTATGAACTAATACCAGTGAAAAAAATCCTATGAGGCCTGAAACCAGTGATTTATTTAGTTTAAGTGCATTTTTATTCAAACAAATTTCCTTCTGTATCATATATATTTTTAGAAATGTGTAATGATGTGCATAAGAATTAAATGTTGTTTAGGTCTGTACATAAGTATGCAATGTAAATTTACAAAAATCACCTTTAATGATGTGAATGTAACATGGAATCTTAAAGAATACTATCTGAGTATTTACTATCCTTCTGCCTGTTGATACTTTTATTTTGGCATTGCACAAGTCATATCTTCTTTGACTGTCCATGACGTTAAAACACTAAATCCCTGGGATGTGTTTTAGTTGATTTAAGTCTCTGATGCATGGTTTTTTATTATTAATTGTTTTTGGCTTTTAACTAGTTTTCAGTAATTGTGAGTACTCTCAAATCGTACTTTTCTGTTAATCTGACCTGTTGATATGTTAAAGAATGGCGAACGTAGATACAAGTATCTTGTCTTGGGGAGGGATAAATCCTACTTTGTAAAGAATCACTCTGATTCAAACAAAAAATTCTCTGAAACTGACATTATCAAGACGCTTGATTTCTTGATTGACAACATATTTGTTACGTTTGGAGGACGTCGGAATTCCAATGGGAACCAATTGTGCCCCTCTTCTTGCCGACTTGTTTCTTTATTATTATGAGGCTGACTTCATACAGGAACTTCTTAGGAAGAAAGGTAAGAAGTTAGCAATATCCTTTAACTCTACGTTCCGCTATATAGATGATGTTCTCTAACTAAATAATACAAAATTTGGTGACTATGTTGAACGAATCTATCCCATCGAACTAGAGATAAAGGATACTACAGATACAGTTAAGTCTGCCTCATATCTTGACTTACATCTAGAAATTGACAATGAGGGTCGGTTGAAAACAAAACTTTACGACAAAAGTGATGATTTCAGCTTCCCAATTGTGAACTTTCCATTTCTATGTAGCAACACTCCAGCAGCGCCTGCATACAGAGTATATATATCTCCCAATTGATACGATATTCCCGGGCTTGTGTTTCCTATCATGATTTCCTTGATAGAGGATTGCTGCTCACAAGGAAGCTATTAAGCCAAGAGTTCCAAATGGTGAAGTTGAAATCATCCCTTCGTAAATTTTACGGACGCCATCACGAGTTGGTTGACCGTTATGGAATAACCGTTTCACAGATGATATCGGATATGTTCCTTATGTCATAACTACAATACCCTTCCCTTTTCACGAATGTGACTTACCGAATTAGACTATTTACCGGATTTCTAATAACATAAGCAACACGACGGGTGCCACATGTGGAGCAGGATCTGCTTACCCTTCCGGAGCACCTGAGATCACCCCCAGTTTTTGGTGGGGTTTGTGTTGCTTAGTCTTTAGTTTTCTATGTTGTGTCATCTGTACTATTATTTGTCTGTTTGTCTTTTTATTTTTGGCCATGGCGTGGTCAGTTTGTTTTCGATCTATGAGTTTGACTGTCCCTCTGGTATCTTTCGTCCCTCTTTTTTGATACAATTTGTAATGCATTTTTTGTTATTTAATGTTTACTTATTTAGTGTTATATCTCGTCTCACTATTTTTAATATATACCACATTTGATAAGTGTTTGGTATGACGATAAATTTTCACTTCTTTTCTCGTACTATGAACAACAAAATTATTTATTTTGTAAAAAAAATTTCCATACTCCATGTATACCTTACAACAAAATCATTTTTATTAAACTATGTACGTTATTTTATTTGGCGGCATTTTGTCCAAGGTTATGGTTGTCTTTCTGATATTGTTTTACATCCCCCCACCTCCCCTTTTTTTTTAATTAATTTTGTATTTACATTGTGTCATAGATCAATTTTATTCGTTCAGTGTATGTTTACTTGTTTTTGTTAATATGCCCTTTGATTGAGTAAAGCCATTTCAATTGATATTTTATAGTGTGTCTTTCTATGTTGTGATGACACTCGACATTAAGCAACCAACAATCACTCAATCTATGTTGTGATGTGTGTTGATGTGGTTAAGTGTTTCTTGTTTCTCCTGTTTGAATGGTTTTACACTAGTCATTTTTGGGGCCCTTTATAGCTTGCTGTTCGGTGTGAGCCAAGGCTCCATGTTGAAGGCCGTACTTTGACCTATAATGGTTTACTTTTATAAATTATGACTTGGATGGAGAGTTGTCTCATTCGCACTCATACAACATCTTCTTATATCTATTTAACTCTCATTAAGGGTCAATTGAAAGTTTCGACCAGGTTGATATATTTGTAGATCTTAATTTGCTGAACATTATTGCTATTTCCAATTTTCTTTTATAGTAACTGCTGCAAAAAGTGCAAAAATGATTGAAAATCTTCTTTCCAGACAGTATATCCTCTAAGTGGTCAATTGACGATTTCGTCCATCTTGACAATTTTTTTCTAATTGAAATTCCTTTCTATCTATAAAAATTTCAGCAAAAAATACAAAAAAATTGGTAAATATCTTCTTTCAAGAGGAACAACTTCTATAAGGGATCAATTGACAATTTTGGCCATGTTTCCTTATCAGTAGATCTTATTTTGCTGATCATTTTAACTATTTTTAAAATCATTCTCTCTATCTTCTAAAGTTTTCAAGAAAAATACAAAAATAATAAAAAATCTATCATTCACGGGCAATAACTCCTCTGGGTCAATAGTCAATTTCGTCCATGTTGACCCATTTGTAGATCTTATATTGTTCTGGCCATTTTACTATTTACAGTTACTCTTTAACTATCATAATTTTCAAAAAACCAAAAACTACGAAATTATTTAAAAATGGACATTTTAAGGGCATTACTCCAGTTGGATAGTCAAATTTTCCGAAAATTCCATGCAGATCATTTTTACCGTTTGTCAGTTTCGCTCTAGCTGCTTGAGTATTTGTGATATAAGCCAAAAACTGCATTTTACCCGAATGTTCTGTTTTAGTAACAGCAGCTATGTTTGTTTATTGATCAAATCCCCAGATGGAATAGGATCCCAGCTCGGGATACCAGTCCAGTACCCACCAATGAAGTCCTTTAATAAATCTACCATCTTTTAAATGGGATATTGTACCAAGTTGAAAATTATGCAAAGATGCTTAAATTTGTAGTATATCCAAAGGTATTCATTAAACTTTCAACTTCTGTTAAATTTAAAGTGATTCTGAAATGTATAGGGTGGATGATTGTCTGAGTAAATGGTCCAAATTTTATTTTTCGATTTTAACCAGGAAGTTAATGAAATGACCCTATTAATACTCAAAACAGTATTGCTCTCTTAAATGCTGGTCATGACCCTTCAAGAATTCTCCTAGAAACCATGAAGGGGGCTACTAGTATGACAAAGTAATTGAAATTTTGCAGTCTAATATAGGGAATAAAAAATCTGCCCTCAATTATGATAAAATTGCATTGAAGTAATGGGGGAAATAATTGGGTCCCCGTTCCAGATAAAAAATTTTAAACAAGATTTCCTAAGGAACATTCATGAAAATTTTGGTAACTTTTAGAGCAGAGGTAATTAAGACCTAATGGCAATAGCCTACATAGCCCTTCAGGCCAATTGAGCTAAAAAAGGTATGATCTGAATCATAGCAGTACAGAAGCACTGACTGCTCAGCTGATGATATCCTCGGGGATTTAATGTTGCACATTTTCAGGCATTAACTGTTCCAAACTTTATGTAGTATCCTAACTTCTGATGTTGCACAGATTAAATAGAAATAAAAAATAAAAAAAATAAAGTACAATAAAATTGAGCATGATTTCAGCACAGCCAGACAAATTTATGACTTAGGTAATGAGCAAATTAAAAATTAATAACAAAAACGGTTTCCAAAAGCAAATGAATAATGCTTGTTTAAAAAGCATAACAGCACATTGGAAATGATGTAAACAAAACTTTTATCTTAAATCCCACACCACCCATAATAATCTCTAAAATTTGATTTTTCATTTTAATTAAAGATGTCTATTTCACAAACTATGGACCATGAAACAAGGTTTTATAGTTAAACTACATTTGATCATGAATTATACAGATCTGTGGTGATTGAGCTCTAAAATCTATCAAAGAAAAATCAGATATAAAAAGGACAGAAATAATATAATAATTATTTAGAAAATGTCAATTTCTGAAATATAAAACCTCTTGCCATTTTGAAATCATTAAATATGAATGCAGTCATGTTTGTGGATTGATTTTAAAGGTGCAGTTAGGAACATCATTTAATTGCTACCATGATACGGACTGAATAAAAAATAAAACCTCTTAAGTGAAAGGTTGTATACACCAGTATTGTATATCTGACAAAAAACAAATGAGGTGTGCAAATAAAGGATCTTGATAAATTGCTTGATAACGGTTCTTCAATAAAAATATCTATAAAACTCTTATTATTACAGCATTTAAAGTGAATATATCAAATGATAAAAGCTTCAAAATGAACATGATTTATCAATTAGCATAAAGGATATTTCTACTTTGATGATGAGCTAGGAAGCTATGAAATTTCTCAATAAAACTTGAGTAAAATATAGTTCTTTAAATAATGAAGTATTCTATAACTTTGAAATTAACTTGTAGGAACCAATGGCACTTTTATACTCTTTATACAGTAACTATAAAACAAAAACACAAAGTATAATGGTCTTCAATAAATGCTGCTCAGTTGACTTTTAATTGCTGTTTTTAGAAATATCAAAAATGTATATAATATCTACAATAAATTTTTTTTTTCTTAATTCTCAAATGACCCTACACTTTAATAAGCCTGTAATATTTTTCATTAAATATGATGGTGACTTTTTGAATTTGATTCTTTGAATAAGGATTGTTTCTAATCATGTATTGGGATCACACAATTCTAATAGTTCTCTGTTAAATGCAACTGACAGGTAGTCATTTAAGCAAAAAAGGTTGAATTTGGACAGTATTGTAACAAAATTAGAGCTGAGGGGTAAATTTTATCCTATTTTCATTTTTATTAAAAGATCAAGGTCTTCTCCAATGCCACTTACTTAACTAAAACACTATTTACTTATAATTATCATTTGTTTATGGTCTGAAAATATTTAAGACTTATATTATTGATAAAAATATAACTTTATAATTTGAAACTTTAAATGTACATTTTTCTACATAAAGATTGAATTACTGTAACAATGAAGATGTCAGATGAAGTCATTCTTAAATAAAGATGGTTCATAACAGTGCTTCCCTTTTACCTAATTGTCTTTTTTTACCAGGATATAATTAAATGCTCAATTAAGTGAGATAATTAAACATTTCCATCCCAAATTAGAGCTGATCTTTTGTTGTCAATATTTTAATATGGGAAAACATATAACATTTTTCTAAAAATTACAATTTCTACGGCTCATTAGTATGCAAAAAATAATTTGTTTTGGTAAAGTCACGATATTAGAAAAGCCAATTAAATGTTATCCATCAAAGATATTCTTTTGTATTGTTGTCTAATGGTTGAGGATGATCTTGCCATTTAGCCGCTGACAAAAACCTCAGCTGTGACCGCACTGCCGCAAATTATCTTCGTAACGTTAACACACATCCTATTCAAATAATTAAATAACTCCTTAAAATGACAATGGAAGCAAACCATCTTCCCAACAGAAATAAAATCAAACTCATTATGCTGATGAAATTTTCTAATTGTGGTCTTTCATCTGAAAATGAATTAAGAATTTTTCTAAGACCACAAAACCCACAATAAGATATCCGAAGACATTTTTTTTACAGAAATTAACGAAGGCATTTAGAAGAGAAATGCCATATTTTATTTCTCTGATTAATAGTTTTTTTATATTACAGAATCAATAATCTGAAAAAGATGATCTCATTGTATGATATGGTATTGTACAATAATACAGGAAAATTATTCACCAAAATTTGATTTAACATTAATTAAATCCTTTTTGTTCATCAGATGGATAAGGGACTTTTTAATTTTGAAGAAATTCTACAGTAATTGTTCTGATATTATAATATAATTAATATCTCTGCTATCATTTCTACTTCTGTTTGAAAGAAATGGTTGATTAATATCAACAAATTTTTCTGTGTTTAACTATTAAGAACCACAGAACAAAACATTTTATTATCTGAATGAAAAAGATCATGGCTAGAATTATACATTTCCAAAGTAAAAAATAACGCCTGGATTTGTTAGTTAACAGAACTTTTGTGTAATTAATAGCAAGACATCAGAAAAAAATTCATTTTAATATTTTTTAAATGATTAATTTTGCTTCTGTATCCTAATGGTACCATTATAATACAATTTCCATATTTTTGATGTGAATGTTGAACATAAATGAGTCGTTTATTAAATATTAAGAAGAAACAAACCCCAAGAGAAGTTCTGACATCTTATTAATAACTGTATATGCTGTTTTATAATTGTGGCTACAAGATTTTATTCTAGGATGTGTTTAAAAATTATAATACAGATTATTCACATTTTTCTGACCAAGACTGGACATAAGCTTAAAAGACTTTATATAGAATTTTTTTTCCATTTCTCAATTTTCCTATTTTCTCATGGAACTCGAAATATGTCTTGTATCATATTTTTTCCTACATATGAGTGCAATTTCAAAAGTACTTTTACAAACATAATGATAATTCATATATTATTGGTATTTCAAAGTTTAAACTTGATGTGACCAAAACTACCAAAACTCAAACTGCAGGACCAATTTGGCAATCATACTACATAACCATATTTTTATATTAAAACATAACTAAATCTGCTTTGTTATACAGTAATGAACATTTATGGTCCTACATCCTGTTGATATTTATAGCTTTGCATTGCACAAGGTGATGCTTTTCTCACTGTTCACATCTTTACACTAAATCCGTTGTATGTATACTGATTGTTATTTTAGTCTGACAAAAATCAGTCTATTTCTTTTTATAAGAAATGTGAACTAAGTTTCAGAAACTGTGAGTACTCTTAGATATTTTTCTATGTGTTTTTGTCTTTTTGGTGAGCTTTGTGACAATATGATGAGTTAAGCCCTCTTCAAATGATTTTTACAGTTTGCTCTTATGTTGTGCTGTTACACCCCTGTCCCAGGTCAGGGGAGGGTAGATTGCTTTAATTCAGCTTAAAACTATATTTAACCCTGCCAAATTCTTTATGTCTATCCATAGTCAGGAGTCTTTAATCCAGCGGATGTTGTTGTTTGCTGTTTGCCCTATTTTTTTTTTTTCATTTATTGTTTTTAGCATAAATCAGGCCTTTCATTTAAATTTTTTGAATTGTTTCACATTTTGCAATACTAGGGCCTTTTATGTATGGTTTTTGTTGAATGCTGTATGGTGACATGTAATTGTTTACAAAATCTTTTGGTCTTTAATGCATAGGTGTCTCATTGACAATCATACTATATCTTTTAAATTTTAGAGCCAAACAGGGTCCGAACTGCACCTACTCTTTTGAAGTCATTGAACTTAAACCCCCTCCCTTAAAACCATTTTAAACACAACATGCCTGTGATGTGATAAAAAAGCATTGTAGTAAAAAATATTGTACTCCCCCTTTTTAAACAAAACAAACCTGTAAAGCAGCAATGTATCACATTTAACACTGTACTCCCCCTTTGTACACACAACAAACCTGTGATAGCAGCACTGTAGCATTCTCCAGATGAGATGTAGGTGACTTTTCTGTGTAAACTTGAATCTTTTAGTCTTTTAGGTGTGGTATGGAATAAGACTTTATCTCCGAGTCCTAACTGACCATCTACTCCTGATCCCCAAACATACACAGATCCAGAGGCTGAAAATAGATACAGTATTGCAGAACATTACTCATCTGCTTCTTTTAATTCTATCTCAGCTTTCAAGGACCCCTTGGTAAAAAAAATACAATATAAAACTTTTTACAAAAAATAATGAAATGATAGCCATTAATAAGTGTTAATAAACATTAATAAGTGTTAATAAAAAGTGATGATATAAGGAAAGAAACAAAATTAAAAAAATATATTTGTGGCATCCTTACTGCATATGACTACAAACTAAAGGTATGTAACAATATTACAATGAACACATGTGAATTGATGTTCTAAAAAAAGTCCTGAAGTGACTTCACTTTATTTATCACCTCACAACTTATTCATTCAAAATCTGCATTTGGTAAACCAGAATTCTTTTCTTTCTTTCTTTTTGACAATGATGATTAATTTATTAGTCTAAAGCTGTTACAATTACCTTATTGTTACAGCTTTCATGAACAAGGTACCCTGATATAATAACATCTTTAAGAACAGTTTAATTTAGTTAATTGAGATGTTTGGGACAGTAAAGTAAGAACTTCATCATGAAGTAAACCATGAACAATTGACCTGTGTCTTATGATTACACAACCCTGTATATTTGACATGCATGTTAGGTAGTCAATATATGTACATCACACATTAACTATTTTTTTCTCTCCAAATTATGAATTATTGAATTGACCAGAATTTTGTTTGACATTTTAAGTCTAAACCATTCAATGTAATATTTTTCTGGTTTTTAATCTAAACAAGAGTGCACAAGCTAAAATGTCACGCCTGCTTATTTTTTAATCGAAATTAAATAATAATGATGAGGTCAAGGTCAAATGAACCCTGCCAGACAGACATGTTCACCTTACAGTCATTCCATATACCATATATAATTGACCTACTGCTCTTAAAGTATCCGATAAGCTAACAAAACCATAAAAACTTAACATTGACAATTGATCAGTGGAAATGAGATCAAGGTCAGATAAACACTGCCAGTCAGAAATGTACACCTTACAATCATTCCATACACCAAATATAGTTGACCTACTGAATATAAGATACAGACTTGACCACTAAACTTTAACCTTGATCACTGATCCATGAACATGAGGTCAAGGTCAGGTGAACCCTTTCTGATGAACATGTAGATCTTGCAATGAACCAATATAACCAATATAGTTATACTATTATAAATAGTAAGTGAGAATTTTAAATGACAAAAAAATTTTGTTTTCAAGCAGTTGCTGAACCATGAAAATGAGGTCAAGGACCATGGACATATAACAGACAGAAACTTCATAACATAAGGTATCTGCATAAAGGTATAAAGCATCCAGTTCTTTTACCTTCTAAAATATAAAGCTTTATACAAATAGTTTACGCCACCACTGTATTATAATCCCTATGTCTCCCATTCTGTTACTTTCATCGCAGGTTAGACAAAAATGACATGATTCTTTGTAAAAAGAGTTTTGTGAGGATTTTTTCAATAAATATAAGCAAAAATCCTCCCAATTTCAGCTGAGTCACTATGCCATTCATTTCAGGTTGGGTGTAATGGTAGCATTTCATTCAATTTCTCTGACCATATCTTAAACTTGGATATGTATGATGGCTGGTTTTGAAGCTGACATATTTCACATAAGTGGTTAAATTTTCCGGGTATGAAGTGAGATTAATTTTTCTACAATTTTGCATACCCTGAAAATCCCTTTGTGATGCAGTTGTTACAGTTTTATTTCCAGACTTAGGATATATCATGTAATGTCAAGGCATACAGATCCAGACTTAAGATATATCATGTAATGTCAAGGCATACAGATCCAGACTTAGGATATATCATATAATGTCAAGGCATACAGATCCAGACTTAAGATATATCATGTAGTGTCAAGGCATACAGATCCAGACTTAAGATATATCATGTAATGTCAAGGCATACAGATCCAGACTTAGGATATCATGTAATGTCAAGGCATACAGATCCAGACTTAAGATATATCATGTAATGTCAAGGCATACAGATCCAGACTTAAGATATATCATGTAATGTCAAGGCATACAGATCCAGACTTAAGATATATCATGTAATGTCAAGGCATACAGATCCAGACTTAGGATATATCATGTAATGTCAAGGCATACAGATCCAGACTTAAGATATATCATGTAATGTCAAGGCATACAGATCCAGACTTAAGATATATCATGTAATGTCAAGGCATACAGATCCAGACTTAGGATATATCATGTAATGTCAAGGCATACAGATCCAGACTTAGGATATATCATGTAATGTCAAGGCATACAGATCCAGACTTAAGATATATCATGTAATGTCAAGGCATACAGATCCAGACTTAAGATATATCATGTAATGTCAAGGCATACAGATCCAGACTTAGGATATATCATGTAATGTCAAGGCATACAGATCCATCAAGGGGTACCTTGTAAACGAGGGTACTGTGGATTCATTTATTTTCATGGGTACCATTATTTTCGTGGATTGAGGAAAACTTGCATTTTCGTGGATATTTAATTTCATGGATTTGCCAAAGTCTGCATATAACATTATAGAAAATTTGTAATGCGTTGAACACTTAATTTCGTGGTTCACCTGTACCCACAAAATCCACGGAAATTGGTATCCAACGAATAATAATGAATCCACAGTATGATGGAGGCCAATATTTGGCCCCAGATATTGCAAAAACAGTAAACTTATTCGAACTTTTCATCATTGTGTGAACTTGTTTGATGAATAAGCCAGTTTAATCTGGAAACTTTGGTGCAGAAAGGTCACTTGTGATGTCACTATGACATCATGAACATATCGAAATTTAGGAATATGACCTAAAATGATCATTTCACCCATAGATTTTGGGCAAAACATATATGAGCAAGAGCTTTACCACAAGAAATATTTTATACACATGAACATCTTTGTTAAATACAGTTTGTAGCAAAATATCTTTATGGGTAAAGCTTTTGCTCATATCTAAATATTAATGATTAGATCTCAAATTGAGGCTTTTTTATGGGAAGTTTTTGATGTTTTGAATGTAAGAAGTGCAGTGAAGCCCTAATGGCAATATGACTGACAAAAATGTAAATGCTGCTGATGTCCCACAGACTATAATGATGTCTTATGAATACTGATGTCCCACAGACTATAGTGTCTTATGAATACTGATGTCCCACAGACTATAATGTCTTATGAATACTGATGTCCCACAGACTATAGTGTCTTATGAATACTGATGTCCCACAGACTATAATGATGTCTTATGAATACTGATGTCCCACAGACTATAATGATGTCTTATGAATACTGATGTCCCACAGACTATAATGATGTCTTATGAATACTGATGTCCCGCAGACTATAGTGTCTTATGAATACTGATGTCCCACAGACTATAATGTCTTATGAATATTGATGTCCCACAGACTATAGTGTCTTATGAATACTGATGTCCCACAGACTATAATGATGTCTTATGCATACTGATGTCCCACAGACTATAATGATGTCTTATGAATACTGATGTCCCATAGACTATAATGATGTCTTATGAATACTGATGTCCCACACACTATAATGTTTTATGAATACTGATGTCCCACAGACTATAGTGTCTTATGAATACTGATGTCCCACAGACTATGGTGTCTTATGAATACTGATGTCCCACAGACTATAGTGTCTTATGAATACTGATGTCCCACACACTATAATGTTTTATGAATACTGATGTCCCACAGACTATAGTGTCTTATGAATACTGATGTCCCACACACTATGATGTCTTATGAATACTGATGTCCCACACACTATAATGTTTTATGAATACTGATGTCCCACAGACTATAGTGTCTTATGAATACTGATGTCCCACAGACTATGATGTCTTATGAATACTGATGTCCCACACACTATAGTGTCTTATGAATACTGATGTCCCACAGACTATAGTGTCTTATGAATACTGATGTCCCACACACTATAATGTTTTATGAATACTGATGTCCCACAGACTATAATGTCTTATGGATACTGATGTCCCACATACTATAATGTCTTATGAATACTGAAGTCCCACATACTATAATGTCTTATGAATACTGATGTCCCACAGACTATAATGTCTTATGAATACTGATGTCCCACAGACTATAATGATGTCTTATGAATACTGATGTCCCACAGACTATAATGATGTCTTATGAATACTGATGTCCCACAGACTATAGTGTCTTATGGATACTGATGTCCCACATACTATAATGTCTTATGAACACTGATGTCCCACAGACTATAATGTCTTATGGATACTGATGTCCCACATACTATAATGTCTTATGAATACTGATGTCCCACATACTATAGTGTCTTATGAATACTGATGTCCCACATACTATAGTGTCTTATGAATACTGATGTCCCACAGACTATAATGTCTTATGAATACTGATGTCCCACAGACTATAATGTCTTATGAATACTGATGTCCAACAGACTATAGTGTCTTATGAATACTGATGTCCCACAGACTATAGTGTCTTATGAATACTGATGTCCCACAGACTATAATGTCTTATGAATACTGATGTCCAACAGACTATAGTGTCTTATGAATACTGATGTCCCACAAACTATAATGTCTTATGAACATTTGAAGGATATTATTTGGTAGATTTATAATCCTTTTTTGGATATTCAAATTCAAAGGGACAAAAAAAGTGGCCTAATCAAATCTTCTTCTTTCATTTCTCAAACTCAAATGCATCAATTTTAGTCTTGAAAATTGCACAGTACTAGCTAACGATTATACTTAGTTAGTATAATAGTCCCAGGTACTAGCTAACGATTATTTTTCTTTAGTATTATCTGTTTAATTATTATATTAAGACCTGAAGGAGAATTACAAAAGCCATATGAATAGATATTCTGTTCAAAACTCAAACTAAACAGTTGAAAATAATGGGAGCATCTTCTTTA